GAGGCCTCAATGGTGGCAGACTGAGGCACGTTTAGAATGGTGTTAATAGTGTTGAAAAGAACGCGGGGTTGTGATTGTTTGAGTTTATAATTTTTGAGAAATATTTGTTTTTCTCGTGTTTAACGGTGGTCTGATAGGCTTTCCAACATGTTTTAAACATCTCAAAAGACACCTGAAGTTTGTCTTTTTTCCATCTATGTTCAGCTCTTCTGCACATGCATCTTGCCTCTCGTGTAGTCTCATTTACCCAAGGGTTGTGATGATTTATACATCATGGGACAGGACGCAGGACACAAGGAGCAGGACACGAGGAGCAGGACACGAGGAGCAGGACAGGCATCACAGTGAGACACAATGACCAGACAATGAGGGACGCAGGCAAACAGACACACTACACACATACACACACACTAACAAGACTAACACAGAACACCTGTGAAACATCACAGGTGCAGACATCAGAGGGGGAACAGACAAATATGGAACACTAGAGGGAGACAGAGACCAGGGAAAGCACAACTCCTAACAGTACCTCCCCCCAAGGACGTCCCTTGACGTCTCCAAGACCCCACACCCCAAAACGTGGGTGGGAGGAGGGGGAAAGCCAACAGGGAGGAGGGCACTAGGAAAAAAAAGAGACACGAGTGGAACGAAGAACTGGACAGGGTACACTAGGGGCAAGGTACAACACATGGAAACAAAAGGAGGTCAGAGTTCAGGTAGGGAACTGTGAGATTGTCAAAAAAAGCAGGAAACAGGTCAGACAGGCAATCATTCACCAGGCCGGGGCCAGTCAGGCGGGCGGCCGAGAGGTTGTCCAATAGGCAGGAACAGGTCGGGCAGAGCAGGAATGAGGACCTCAGCAGGCGGATCAGCAGCGAGGAGCTCAGCAGTGAGGAGCTCCTCTGCGGCTGGATCGTCTGGGGCTGGATCTTCGGCGGCAGTATCTGGAGCAGGAGCGGAGTCTGTCTGGACCCCCTCGGAACAGGAGAGGTGAGGAGCGTCCGCCGGGACCCCATCGGAACAGGAGAGGTGAGGAGCGTCCGCCTGGACCCCTCGGAACAGGAGAGGTGAGGAGCGTCCGCCTGGACCCCCTCGGAACAGGAGAAGTGAGGAGCGTCCGCCGGGACCCCCTTGGAACAGGAGAAGTGAGGAGCGTCTGCCGGGACCCCCTCGGAACAGGAGAAGTGAGGAGCGTCTGCCGGGACCCCCTCGGAACAGGAAAAGTGAGGAGCGTCTGCCGGGACCCCTCGGAACAAGTGAGGAGCGTCTGCCGGGACCCCCTCGGAACAGGAGAGGTGAGGAGCGTCCGCCTGGAC